TAACATTTGTTGGTGGTGGTGGTTAGTTAAAAGAAGGCCTTAGAGACAGGGTTTTGCCATGCTGGCCAGGCTGGTCTCAAACTCCTGACCTCAGGTGATCCATCTACCTCAGCCTCCCAAAGTGCTGGGATTACAGGCCTGAGCCACCGTGCCTGACCAGGCTTTTGCATTCCTGTCGGATTATTCCACTCAGACCAGCAACTCCTCTGTGTCCCTACCCAGAAGCGAACTCAATGCAAGAGGACCATTTTCCACACCCGTAGGAATATATCCCCAACCAATCAGCAGCTCCCATTCCCTTGCCGCCCCCCGCCCCCCGCCACCAACCCACCAAACTATCCCTGAAAAACTCTAGCCTCTGAATTTTTGGACAGGCTGATTTGAGTAATAATAAAACTCTGGTCTCCCATTTAGTTGGCTCTATGTGTATTAAACTCCTTGTATACTGCAGTTCCCGTCTTGATAAATTGGCTCTATCTGGACAGCGGAAGAACCCATGGGGCAGTTACAGGAAGGCACATACAGACACTCCAGAAAGACATGAATCCAAAAACAGATGCACAGGCCGGATGCTGTGGCTCCCGCCTGTAATCACAGCACTTTGGGAGGCCGAGGCAGGTGGATCACCTGAGGTCAAGAATTCGAAACCAGCCTGGCCAACATGGTGAAACACCCGTCTCTACTTAAAAAAAAAAAACAAAAAAACAAAAAACAAAAATTAGCCAGGAGTGGTGGCGGGCACTTGTAATCTCAGCTACCCTGGAGGCTGAGGCAGAATTGCTTGAACCCAGGAGGTGGAGTTTGTAGTGAGCAGAGATCACACCATTGCACTCCAGCCTAGGTGACAAGAGTGAAACTCCATCTCAAAAAACTAAAAACAGATGCACAGACACAGATACACGGGGCACATGCACACATAAACCCACTCACAGACTCACAACAAACATACACTCAGACCCAGGGATGCCTCTTGTTGTCATGCAAATGCTTCCTAAAATCTACACCCCAAGGCCGGGCGCGGTGGCTCAAGCCTGTAATCCCAGCACTTTGGGAGGCCGAGGCGGGTGGATCACGAGGTCAGGAGATCGAGGACGTGTCCCTGGCTAACATGGTGAAACCCCTGTCTCACTAAAGAATTACAAATAAACTAGTCCGGCGCGTTGGTTGGCGGCCGCCTGGTAGTTCTCAGCTGACGTTTGCGGGTTGAGGCTTGATGCGGGGGGGGGGGGGCGCCGGCGGAGCGAATGGCGTGAACCGAGGAGGAGCTTGCAGGTGAGCCGAGATCACGGCCACGTGGCCACTCCAGCCTGGAGCACAGCCGGAGCACTCGCGTCTCAAAAAAAAAAAAAAAAAATCTACACCCCAAGGCACCTGATGCTGCCTTTACCATCTTGTCCGCCAAGTCAGGGCTCTGCTGGTGGGCGACTCTTTCTGAGTCCTGCCCTGAGCACAGGCCATGGGACGCCATGGTGAGCTTTGGAAACAGGGACGTCCATGTTCCTTGATTTCTTTTTTTTTTTTTTTTTCTGGAGACGGGCAGTCTCACCTCTGTCAACCCGAGGGCGTGGAGTGCAGGTGGCCCCAAGATCTCAGCTCCCTGGCAAGGCTCCGCCTCCTGGGTTTACGCCATTTCTCCGTGCCCTCAAGCCTCCCAAGTAGGCTGGGAACTACAGGCCACCCGGCCCACCCTCGCCGGCCTAGTTTTTTTGTATTTTTTTTTTTTGTAAGTAGAGACGGGAGTTCACCGTGTGTAGCCCGAGGGATTGGTCTCGAGTCTCCGACCTCGGTGAGTCCAGCCCGTCTTGGCCTCCGCAAATTGCTGGGACTTTACAGGCTTGAGCCACCGCGCCAGGGCCCAGATGTTCCTGATTTATAACGTCTCCATTAATGGGAAAGGTCTCTTGGTCTTTCCTAACGTCTTATTTTTAGGGAAGGTGTCCTCTTGTCTCCAAACGGTCTCCAACCTCTGAAATTCCCTTCACTTCAGCCTTGCTCACTGAAAGAGGGCCAGAGCCTGTGGGAGAAAACAGACCCAAGGGTCACGACAGAAGGTAACCCAATGGCGAACTTAAACTGTGGGACCCCCAGAACTCCCAACCCAGCAACAATCGAAGGCTTTTGGGATTTCCATTTCTCAAAATGCCTCTTCCCCTGGCCCAGGCACAGTGGTTCCATGCTCGTATTCAGCACTCTGAGAAGCTGAGGAAGGGAGGATGGCTTTGAGCCCAGGAGTTTGAAGGGTTGCATAAGATATGATCACACCCCAACTGGCAGGCCCAGCCTGGGCAGCAGAGCCGAGGACCCTGTTCTCAAAAATAAAATAAAATAAAAAAAATAATAATAATAATTAAAAAAAAAAGTCTGGCATAGCAGTCACATGCCTGTAATCCCAATACTTTGGGAGGCCAAGGCAGAGGACTGCTTGAGGCCAGGAGTTCAAGGACAGCCTGGGCAACACAGTGAAACCCTATCTCTATCAAAAATTTAAAGTGTTTTTTTGGCTTTTTTTTTTTTTTTTTTGAGGACAAAATGTGGCTCTGTTGCTCAGGCTGGAGTGCAATGGAGCAATCTTGGCTCACTGCAACCTTTGCTTCTCAGGCTCAAGCCATCCTCCCACTTCAGTCTCCCAAGTAGCTGGGATCACAAGTGCCTGCATGCCACTACATCTGGCAAATTTTTGTATTTTTTGTGGAGACAGTTTCCTCATGTTGGCCCGGCTGGTCTCGAACTCCTGAGCTCAGTGATTTCCCACTTCAGCCTCCTAAAGTGTTAGGATTACAGGTGTAAGCCACCTCATCCAGTCAAAAAAAATTTTTTTTTTTTTTTTTTTTGAGACGGAGTCCTTCCGCTCTGAGTCGCCCGGCTGGAGTGCAGTGGCCGGATCCTCAGCTCCTGCAAGCTCCGCCTCCCGGGTTCCGCCCTTCTCCTCCACTCAAGTCCCGAAGTAGCCTGGACTCAGGCGCCGCCACCGTCGTCCCGGTGGTTTTTTTGTATTTTTTAATAGAGGACAGGTTTCACCATGTTAGCCAGGCATGGTCTCCGATCTCCTGCTTCTCAGTGAGATCCACCCCTCCTCAGCTCCCCCAAGTGTTGCGATTCACAGGGTTTGAGCCACCGCGACCGGCCCCAGCCAAGAAAGTTAAATTAAAAAAAAAAAAATCATTCTTTTTTGAAATCTCCTGTCTCCATTGCTGATGTTCCCCACACTACACCCCGATCCTGTTTTTTTTTTTTTTTAACTTTTGAGATGGTGTCAAAAAATAACAGCCTCTGTCATTCACGCTGGAGTGCAGTGGCATGACCATAGGTCACTGCAGCCTCAAATTCCTGGGCTCCAGAAATCCTCCCACCTCAACCTCCCTGGTGCCTTTTATTTTATTTTTGACCCTAAGTTTTGTCCTTGTCGCCCAGTCTGGAGTACAATGGTGCGATCTTGGCTCACTGCAACCTCCGCCTCCCAGGTTCAAGCGATTCTCCTGCCTCAACCTCCCAAGCAGCTGAGTAGTAGGGATTACAGGTGCCCGCCATCACGCCTGGCTAATTTTTGTATTTTTAGTAGAGACTAGGTTTCCCCATGTTGGCCAGGCTGGTCTCGAACTCCTGGCCTCAAGTGATCCTCCTGCCTCAGCCTCCCAAAGTGCTGGGATAGGCGTGAGCCACCTCGCCCAGCCCCTGGTGCCTTCTTTAACACTGGGTGGGAAGACAGTGTCCTGGCGAGGCCTCTGCACACCGAATGCGTTTCCCAGACCCAAACTAATAGCCTCCCTTGACCCAGGCGCCTTCCAGGGCTGGCGTGCCCCCTCTCGCAAGTAGGGGAAACAGATGTCCCCGAAGGCCAGGGGTTGGGGCGGGGAGCGGGGAGGTGGGGGGCAACGGGGACGCGGGGTAGGAGGGCGGGAGGGAGGGGGAGCGGGCGAGGGGAGGGTCCGTCCCAGCCTCCCGGGCCGTTGCCTCCGCTGCTGGCGTTCCTCCGGGCCTGCGGATGGCGCTGCGGGCGCGGGGCCTGGCCGCTCTAGCCGGCGAGCGGGCAGGGAGGCGCCTCGGTGGCTGTGCGCTGTCCAGCATTTCAGCAAGCGGCGGCGGCTCCCGCGGGGAGGCGGAGGGTGCGGGGCCGCGGGGGCCGCGGAGCTGCCCTGCCCAACCCAGCCCAGGCGAGGCGGCAGCCCGGACCAGCGGGACCCGAGGGCCTGGCCCCAACGCCCGGCAGATCGCGGCGGTCAGCGGGGAGGTGAGAGCGCCTGTGGGGCGGGGGCATCTCCCAGAGGGGCTGGGGCTGGGTGGAATCTCAGGCCTCCCCAGTACCCCCGTGGTCTGCAGGCTCCCCGGAGCAGAGGGGCAATATGGGGGGACGGCGAGGGTGTCTGTCCGGGGGTGCCAGGCGCCCGGGGAGCAGTGATGAGGGACATTCATTTCACTGAGAGGGATGGAGACAGTGGGGACTCTTTGGGGTCACGGGCAGGACTCCCTTGGACATAAATGACCACGGCCTGGTCCATGAGGGTGCCAGAGAGGCCCCCCAACTGCAGCCCCACTGAGGAAGGGAGCTCCCCAGGGAAGGGAGGACCGATGCAGGGACCCCATGGAGATGCTGGTCACTGGCCCGGGTGGAGGGAGCAGGCCCCCACCTGGATGCTGGGCCTCTGTCCAGCATGAGGTGCTGGCCCAGGGGACAGCCTGGCCCCTTTCCCGGCTGCCCAAATGCCCCTAGGGAGGTAGGAGCTGGCAAGGAGAACTGGGTCTCACAGGATGGCATTTACTCTTGCACTGGGAAGAGGATGGAGGACACAGAAGAGAAAATAGCTACTAGGAATTTGGGAGGGGGTTCTCTGTGCACACACCCCTCCCCACAGATGCCCAGAGAGAGTTTCTAGAGCCCAGAGTTAGCCCTGCCCCAGAGTGAATTCCTGGTAAAGAGGAGAGCTGAGAAAAGACGCAACCTCTGCCTTGCCTCCGCCTCCCCCTCCCTTCCAGGGCTCCTGCCTGGACAGTGTTGAAGCCTCCTGCAGTTCCTACTCCTGACAGCAGATCCATTGTGGGGAGAGATTTAGGGGGAGGAAGGGAAGGTTGTACCAAGGTCTGACCTGGTACTTCAATGCCTGTGCCCTATCCCAGCCACAACTTCTTGCTGCCCTAAGACCTCACTCACCCTAGCATTAGGGGGCTTGGGCTGGTCTTTTGTCCCATGGCAAGAGAAATGGCAGGTGCTGGGCTTTGATGGAGAGATGTGCACAAGTTCCTCTGTCCAGGGGGCATCTTAAGGTCATGGCCTCGGTTTGTTCCAGCTTCTTCCTCAGCCAAAAATAGGACCCAGCTGGCTAGGGAATTGTTCCCACACAACACTAGCTTTCTGGTTCCTTAACTTTATGCCCCATCCCACTCTCCTGTGGGGTGGAGGAGGTATTCTTGAAGAGTGACTGAAGAGTCAACTGGGTTTTAAGAGGTAGGGGTATGTGGGTTGGGAGTCATGGACTCTGATGTCAGAAAGACATGGAATCAAATCTAGGTTGTGTGACCTCAGGTAAGCCATTGACCTTTCTGAGTCTGTTTTCAATCTGTAAAACAGGTGTAGTGTTAACAATGTCTACTTTGCTGTTGAAAGAAATAATCTGGATAAGGGGATGGGAGACGACTTCTATGGTATAAAATGCTGGGTGAGTGTTAGTAAATAGAAGACAAGTAAGAATTTCTTAAAGAAGAGCTGGATAAATGTGGAAGAGTGTTCCGTGTTATTTGAAGCACATTTTTCTGTTCCCGGAGGAGATGAACAGTGGTTGAGAGTCTCATACCAAGCTCCATGCTGGGCACAATGCAATGGTTGACTCAGCTAATCCTTGCAGAAGCTTCATAAGGAAGGCATCATTGTCCCTATTTCATAGCTGAGAAATGAGGCTTGAGTGACTTTCCCAAGGTCATGAAGCCACTTGTGCTGTCCTCCTGGAGGCGGGAGAGTTACTGATGACCTGTCCCATCCTCTGTTTATCAAGGCCCAGTTCAATGCCAGCATCTTGATTTATGATGCCAGCTTTACAGGTGGGGAGCCTGAGTGAGATGGGTGAGGGCGTACAGTGTAGTTAGGAGGTGACTCCCGCAAGGTCACTGGGATACTTGGAGGTAGAATGTGACTTGAACTGGCCAGTAGGGTGCCTCCACCCCTGTCACATCTACCAAAGAGGGAGTCTGGGTCTGACAGTCCCATCTGCTCACTTCTGTACCCTCTTTGCACCTCCTCTGCCTCCCAACCTCTTGCTGACCTCTGCAAGCCAGTGACTGCCCCTTCCTTTCTTAGTGGTTCACCCTCACCTCCTGAGATGGTCCATGGCCAGGAGCAGCTACTAGCACCGCTGGGGTCAGCCTCCCTTCCTGACTTTTCTCCCTCCTCTGCCCACATTTTATTGTCTCCCAGGGACAAAATCATAGCTCTTCCTATCTCAGAAGCCTGCCAGGGGCATCGACGGGGAGGTTAGAGGAGCCCAGCCCCTCTTTCTTCACTCCTACACATACACTGAGCCTCTGCCCATGGTCCTGTAACTTCATATACATGATCTCATCTCATCCTCACATAACCTGGAGCCAAAGGTGCTGCTGTCTGCCTTTCACACAGGAGCAAAATAAGGCCTGAAGGTGTGATGGGACTTTCCCAAGGTCACAGAGCAAGGTCTTGGTGCAACCCAAACCCACTGCCTCAGAACCCCAAGGTGACTTCCACAACACTACTCTGCCCCCAGTTCTCCAGGCTCCCCAGGGCGAGAGGCCAGTGAATGTAGGCCAGTGAGTGTTGGAGGGGTGGGTGGCATGTGGTGAAGGCAACTGAAGGACTCTCGAACAGGAGTCCAAGGACCTTCTTTCTGGCCCTATCTCTGATCCTGGCTCCCTGTATGACCTTGAATGTGTCCCTTCCCATCTCTTGGCTTCAGTGTCCCCAACACTAAAATGATGGGGTTTAACACCAGGTGCAGTGGCTCACACCTGTAGTCCTAACACTTTGGGAGGCCAAGGCAGGAGGATCCCTTGAGGCCAGGAGTTCAAGACCAGCCTGGGCAACATAGCAAGACCCCATCTCTACAAAAAATTATAAAAAGAAAGCTGCTCTCCTCTGAACATCACTTCTCCCAGCTCCTTTCTTCTCACTCAGCCTCCTGCCCCTCAGTGAGTCCCCGCTCCTGATCCCCTCTCCCCTCATGGAACCCTCCCCCATCTCCCATCACCCCCCTGCCCAACTCCTTCACTGATCCAAGGTGTTGAACTGAGAAGGAACTTCGCCTCCATTTCTTGCAGCCCCTCCCACTCAGCCTGGACTCATTTCCACACTGACCCAGTCCCCCAGCCGGGCTTGCCTCTTCTATCTCTCTTTTTTGTTTATTTGTTTGTTTGTTTGTTTGTTTTCTTTTGAGACAGAATCTTGCTCTGTCGCCCAGGCTGGAGTGCAGTGGCGCAATCTCAGCTCACTCAACCTCTGCCTCCTGGGTTCAAATGATTCTCCTACCTCAGCCTCCCAAGTAGCTGGGACTACAGGTGTGCGCCACCACGCCCAGCTAATTTTTGTAGTTTTAGTAGAGATGGGGTTTTGTGATGTTGGCCAAGCTGCTCTCAAACTCCTGACCTCAGGTGATCCTCCCGCCTCAGCCTCACAAAGTGTTAGGATTACAGGCGTAAGCCACTGCACCCAGCCATGCCTCCTGTTTTACAATGCCAGCTGCAAACTCTCCTATTTTCCCCACAATTCCATGAATAAGCCTCAATCACCTCACCTCTGTTGCTTCCCTCGTCCATGCCTGTGGTCCTTGGGGGCCTCGTGGGCTCTGGTGAACAACCCTGGGAGGTGTATGGAAGACATCTTCAGTGTCCCTGCAGCTCATCTCAAATTCTCAGCCAGAAAGGACTCTAATCTTGGTTCAACCAGAGTCCTGGGAGCTGTAGGTGGCCACTGGGCCTGTCTAAGCCCTATTTCCTCCCCCACCTTTAATTAAGGCCCAAGACTGTAGGTGACTTGGGACAGGTGAATTTGAAATCTCAGCTCCAATAAATCAAAGCTTGAAACACTGGAGGTGACTTCAACCTCTAATGATGGAACCGCAGACTTCCTGACATACAGATTTATAGGGCAGAGAGATGTTTAAATCTTCGGACTGACAGGGCCTTCATGTGTGGGAGGTCATCTGGTCAAAACCCATTTGTTTTAAAATTTTTTGAGAGAGGGGCTCAATCTGTTGCCCAGGCTGTCGTGCAGTGGCACAATCACAGCTCACTGCAGCCTCGACCTCCTGGGCTCTAGTGATCCTCCCTCCTCAGCCTCCCGAATAGCGAGGACTATAGGCATGTACAACCACACCCAGCAATTATTATTATTTCTTTTAGAGATGGGGTCTCACTATGTTGCTTTGGCTTCCAAAAGTGCTAGAATTAGAGGCATGAGCCGCCACACCCATCCAAGAACAGCTTTTGAAGAATGGAGAAGAATCGGATGAGGGGAAGGGAAGGCGTTTGGGGGGGCAGAGTGAAGGGGAGTGGGTTCAGAGAGGAGAAAGGGATTGGAGATTGAGAGAGAAGGAGAGAAAGAAAGAAATAAAGAAAGAGAGAAAGAGAGTAAGAGAGAGAGAGAGAGAGAGAGAAAGAGAGAAAAAGACAGAGAGAGAGAGAGAAAGAGAGAGAGAGAGAGAGCGCCAGCAGGAGGAGCGGGATGCCCAGGAGAACAGAGGGGATTATGACAGGGAAGGGCTTGTTACCGACAATTACAGACCCTGCCTCACCCAGCCTAGGCCTTCACTGTGGCTTAGCACCTGCTGATACCTCTGGCGTGCTGCCCCTCTGCCCTCTTCTGGGTCATGAGCGCAGGAAGGTGACATCTCCATCCCAGAGGCTCAGCCTTTTTGGCCCCATGTCATCTAGAAAAGGGCTCTCAGAGGGCCTGGGTGGGTGAGCCAGGTTCAAGCTGCCTCACTGACTGTTAGCCTAGAAGACAGGCCCCTGGGGCCATGTGTACATTGGCTCCAGAGCAGTCCTCGCCCTCCCAGGACTCCTCCAGAGCCTAAAGCCTCTGGCCTGTCCTTCGGCAGTGCTGCTTCCTCGGCAGCCAGCCTGGCCTCAGCCTCCTGCCGCCCCCGCCCTGGCCTCCTGCCCACTGCAGAGGCTGCTGTGCCGGCGGAAGCTGACGGACAGTGCCACGGCTCCCTTAGCATCCTGCCAGGGCCTCTGAGGGCTGTGAGGAGGCCTGGCCGGTTACCTGGACCC